CCCCCACCCCACCCCCCAAGATTCTCGATGAAACTCTCCCCACACCGGATTCGAACTAACCACTTGGCTCTCTTGCGTGGGACAGCGAAATGCTTATACGCTACACTACAGATACTGGGTGTAAGTAATTAACCTGACGCAGTACTTTTTTTTCCGTGTCGTAAACGACGACCACAAAGTGTTTAAGTTTGCTCAGTAGATCTAGATCTGTAAGACTCAACCATGCCATACTTTTCAGGAGAAAAAAAATATCGTTTGCCGGACTCTTACATGGGGGCTGCCCAGTTTGTCACAGGCCCAGTTTTTCACAATTTCATTTAAGTATTTGAGTATTGATGAGTCATAATTACAAAAATTTAATACTGTAGTTGTAACAATAGTTTTTTTTTATTCTCCACCTTCAAATTAATGGTGTAGAGATAGTCCCTCTAAAATGTCAAATGAGCTTGCGTTGTTCAATATTTCTTCCTTTTTGTATGCAAATCAAAGCAAATCTAAATTACTCTGTAAAATTTCAACAATGAATGTTCTTTCGTTAAAAACAATTGAAAAATAAAATGTAATTCATACAACCAACCACTCATTAATTTACTCTCTTTGAAAGTACCAGTGATAACTTCCATCATGCAGAACAGTAGAGGCCTGTGACAAACTGGGCCGATGACAAACTGGCATGCTTCCCTCTTCCACTAGCCTAAGCAGCCATCACGCAAGAGCAACTGATACAACGAAAAGAAAGCAAACTCCAGAAATCGATCAGGGGTGTTAAAAGGACATCATTACCATAATATTATGACACAACCGATGGCGTTTGTTTAAACAAAAGTACTACCTGCACCTTTTGTTTAAATGAACGTAGACCTACCAAAGATAGATTTACTACACCGTAGGGTAGACTCTATACTATCTTTGGGCCAACTTGGTGCATGAACAGAATGACCTTAATCTAGTTCCGAATCACGTAGGCGTATCCTGCGGCGTCATCAGCGTTGTGTGTGTGTGTGTGTGTGT